GACGCGAACCGCGGTTGACTACGTGGGAGTCCAGCGACATAGCCATTATGCTAACTGCTGGTTCCCAACCTCTTCTTTCTGCATAATCTCTCCATTGTCATGTCACCCAGGCCCGAGGACCCCATACTCAGTTTGATGCTGAGGATGTGCACAGCATTATCTCCGTGGTGACCTCTCCTCCCATGGGCTCGAAACTCACCATGACTTGATGTCTCCATTTGACTTCTCTGTGTAGATGTCTCATACTTGCCAATCCAAGATAGAAGTCCCTCCCACCTCCAAACTTGTTTCCTACCCCACTCCCTAGGACCCCAGTTGCTCAAGTCAAAAATCTATGTGTCATCCGTGATTTTTCTCCTTTCCCTCATTCTTATCCAATCTATTTGTAAGTCCTTGGAAATCTACCTCCAGAATATCTCTAGAATGTACCCTCTTCTCACCACTCCACTGTCAACACTTTAGACTGGCCAACTGCCTCTCACCTACAATGGCTCCAAGCTGGTCTCTCCACTTCCTCTTCTATCCCCAATCCTATGCAACCATCCCAATCTCATCTCTATCCAGGAACAGTAAAGATATTCTGGGGACAGGTGGTGGCCCAGTAGTAACACAACTGGACCACATAGGAAAGCCCTAGGTTCACGTATCAGGACCTCCCTGAGCATGCTGGACCCATGAGTGCATGCCCACGATTCAGGCCAACTGAGGATGGAGGTGGCTCATTGGTATCAAAACCCTGTTGGTATTATTGTTCTCTCTCTCTCTCTCTCTCTCTCTCTCTCTCTCTCTCATAAAAGAAAGAAAGTCACTTTTTTTTTTAATGAGAGAGATCCTCTTTTTGGGTTGCATTCCCCCTGCTTAGAACTTACCAATGGCTTCCAGTATTCTAAGACCAAGACCAAACTCTTCACTATGACAAGGTAGGCTCTTTATGAACTGGTCCCTCTCACTGTGCAAACTGGAAGGGAGAATGTTCCCATGCCTTTTCCAGCTTCTGGAGCTGCATTCCTTGGCTCATGGCCCCTTCGTCCACATTCAAAGCCAGCAGGAGAGCGTCTTGTTCCTGCAGTCACATCACCTTCTTCTCCAGGGTCAAACCTCCCAGTGCTGATCTCTTAGAAGGACACTTTAGGGCCTATCCAGGTAATCCAGGATAATAGCCCATCTCAAGATCCTTCACTTACGCATGTCTACAATGCCCCTTTTGCATGTAAGCCAGCATTCACAGGACCCAGGATTAGAACCTGGATATCATGAGACCATTAGTTGTCTACCATACACACCAAGTGCTCTTTCCCATGATGGAGTCTTTATGTAACTCATTCCCTGTGATTGGAATGTTCCCTTCCTCCCCCCAGCTCTTTGCATGGCCACTCACTGCTCATTCTTGGGGATAGAGCTTACCTGGAACTCCTCAGTCAAACTGTCAAAGTAACCTGTCAACAGGCTAGAGAAGTTTCCCTGTATTGTGTGCCTTTGTTCATTTCTTTTCCTGTAGTCACTGAAATTGATCTTATTTACATGTTTTTTGCAGTTTACTTGTATTTTGTTTATTTATCCTGTACCCTCACCTAACTGCCTTCAGGACAAGGACCAGGTCTGTTTTGTTCATCCACTAATTATCGTACTAGAACTGGTCTATTAGTCCACTATTGCATTGCCCAACAGAAATCCCTGAGACGTGGTGGTTTATGATGAAATAGAGGTTTATTCAGCTCATGGTTTGATGGCCCAAGATCCAGGGGCCAACTTCTGGTGAGGCCCCAATATGATGGAGAGCAGGATCTTGAGCAAAGCAGTTGTTCATAAATCTAGTCTTTCTCCTCTTATAAACCCACCAGAACTCAATTGTAGGAGCCCCACTCTAATGAATTTATCACACCCAAAAGCCCTACCCTGTGAATACCATGAAGGAATTAAAATTTTCATGCCTTTATGAAACGGCCAATTCCTAACACATGAATTGGTGGGCATTCAAACTATAGCAACCGGTTAATGTCACTGTTGAACGAACTTAAGGAAGATGAACTTACAGTCTAATACTGTCCTATGAAATGGGCTGCCAGGGGGCCTGAGTCACACACAGTAGTGCCTCAAGAGATGGTCCCACTGACCTCAATCATGACTGTGGACCCTAAAACGACACTCTCATTTCACTCAAGAACTTCTCAGTTATAGTCTGAGAACAGTTCTACCCAGTCACAGTCCTGTTAGAAGACACACCCTTCGTTGTCCCTGGAGCAGGCTTGCTGACCCTGGTTTCACAGCAGATCCTGAAAAGGATCTGAAGCTCAGCCTCAGCTATGGGCAGAGTCTGCCCAGGGACTCAAAGAGATGCATGCCCCTCTGTACTCTCCTAGCAGTCTAGCCAATGGAGTGCCCACAGAAGAATCCAAAATGGTCCTAACAAGTGACTTCAGCTCCTCTTAGCATGGCTTGAAAGCAGTCCTAAATACACAGAAGCTCAGAGAGAGACAAATTCAGTGCCCCTGCAAACAAAGAAAGTAGACCTAGCTCTGCCTTCCTCCTGATCTTCCACCATAGAAACAATGGTCTGGGCAGAACAGAGAAGCTGCCAAACTAACTCCTCTTTATTTTTTTGTTATTGTTGGGGGGAAGTATTTTATTTCATTTTATTTATTATTCTTATTTTTTTAATTTGACCAGAGAGAGAAAAAGAGTGAAAGTGAGAAAGCAAACCACCAGGTCCAGGACTCAAATTGCAGTTGGCCATGTGGGAGTCCAGCTCCTTAACCGCCATGCCACCTGCTGGCGCCTCTTTGTTCTCTTTGCATCAACAGAACCCACAGACACACTCACATGCAGGAGCCCAGGGGCACTGAGCCATCCAAATACACACAAACACACATACACACACATATACACATACACCAAGCCTGTTGAGAAAATGGAATTGCATGTGGGAAAGCAGCCACCTGAGCCTTGCTCATTCGATGCAGCTAAGAACGATTTCAATACAAGGTGCACGCAGGAGGCCACTCACAAGGAGGGCCGTGCACAAATCTTCCCCATCTTTCTTTCTCCTGGAGCCGCTTTGACAGAATCGAGGAGGCCCAGGAGCTTTTTCACGTTAGCTGCAGCCTTTTAGCCTGGGCACTGCGAGGCCCCAGCACAGCTTAAAACTTCATGCTGGGTTAGATTTTTTCCAAGCTGAAACCAAATGTGTTTTGAGTGCCAGGCTACTTGTAAGAATTGCTTTTGCTTTAAGCAATAAATTATCTAGTTGAAAACATCATTTTCCCCCTTCAAGTAGAACACTATACTTTAAAATCTTACAAGGATGAAATAGAGGTTTATTCAGCTCATGGTTTGATGGCCCAAGATCCAGGGGCCAACTTCTGGTGAGGCCCCAATATGATGGAGAGCAGGATCTTGAGCAAAGCAGTTGTTCATAAATCTAGTCTTTCTCCTCTTATAAACCCACCAGAACTCAATTGTAGGAGCCCCACTCTAATGAATTTATCACACCCAAAAGCCCTACCCTGTGAATACCATGAAGGAATTAAAATTTTCATGCCTTTATGAAACGGCCAATTCCTAACACATGAATTGGTGGGCATTCAAACTATAGCAACCGGTTAATGTCACTGTTGAACGAACTTAAGGAAGATGAACTTACAGTCTAATACTGTCCTATGAAATGGGCTGCCAGGGGGCCTGAGTCACACACAGTAGTGCCTCAAGAGATGGTCCCACTGACCTCAATCATGACTGTGGACCCTAAAACGACACTCTCATTTCACTCAAGAACTTCTCAGTTATAGTCTGAGAACAGTTCTACCCAGTCACAGTCCTGTTAGAAGACACACCCTTCGTTGTCCCTGGAGCAGGCTTGCTGACCCTGGTTTCACAGCAGATCCTGAAAAGGATCTGAAGCTCAGCCTCAGCTATGGGCAGAGTCTGCCCAGGGACTCAAAGAGATGCATGCCCCTCTGTACTCTCCTAGCAGTCTAGCCAATGGAGTGCCCACAGAAGAATCCAAAATGGTCCTAACAAGTGACTTCAGCTCCTCTTAGCATGGCTTGAAAGCAGTCCTAAATACACAGAAGCTCAGAGAGAGACAAATTCAGTGCCCCTGCAAACAAAGAAAGTAGACCTAGCTCTGCCTTCCTCCTGATCTTCCACCATAGAAACAATGGTCTGGGCAGAACAGAGAAGCTGCCAAACTAACTCCTCTTTATTTTTTTGTTATTGTTGGGGGGAAGTATTTTATTTCATTTTATTTATTATTCTTATTTTTTTAATTTGACCAGAGAGAGAAAAAGAGTGAAAGTGAGAAAGCAAACCACCAGGTCCAGGACTCAAATTGCAGTTGGCCATGTGGGAGTCCAGCTCCTTAACCGCCATGCCACCTGCTGGCGCCTCTTTGTTCTCTTTGCATCAACAGAACCCACAGACACACTCACATGCAGGAGCCCAGGGGCACTGAGCCATCCAAATACACACAAACACACATACACACACATATACACATACACCAAGCCTGTTGAGAAAATGGAATTGCATGTGGGAAAGCAGCCACCTGAGCCTTGCTCATTCGATGCAGCTAAGAACGATTTCAATACAAGGTGCACGCAGGAGGCCACTCACAAGGAGGGCCGTGCACAAATCTTCCCCATCTTTCTTTCTCCTGGAGCCGCTTTGACAGAATCGAGGAGGCCCAGGAGCTTTTTCACGTTAGCTGCAGCCTTTTAGCCTGGGCACTGCGAGGCCCCAGCACAGCTTAAAACTTCATGCTGGGTTAGATTTTTTCCAAGCTGAAACCAAATGTGTTTTGAGTGCCAGGCTATTTGTAAGAATTGCTTTTGCTTTAAGCAATAAATTATCTAGTTGAAAACATCATTTTCCCCCTTCAAGTAGAACACTATACTTTAAAATCTTACAAGTGTTAGGAACATCGAAAAATGTTTGGTCACAGTGAAGCTTTGGTGACTCAGTTGTCTCCTCCTGTGTGATTATTTACAGCAGAAAGTTGATAATCATGTTTTTCAGAAAATATATACTTGGGAAAATAAAACAAAGTGGGTGATAAATATTAACCAGTTTTTGCACATAATAATGTATAAATTAGTAATGCTCACACAGCACCTGGCAGCTTACAAAGGCTTCAACATGCATCATTTTGAAAAACCCTAAAAAAAGATTTGCTTCTAAAGAAGGGCATGAGTTTGCCCCCCTGTAAACTTCCATTCCATAACTATATATCCTAAAGCATTCTGGCACAAATAAAACAGAAGTGTCTCTTATGGATATATTTCCGAAGTCTGTTGTCAGAGTTCAATTCACAGGCAGCCACCGGCAGCCTAGTGGGGCCATCTGAAATTCTGGCCCAGATTAACTTTAAAAGCTGCATTTGGATGGGGAGCTGTTTCCAAAGGCTTTTCTGAAGAGTACCCGATTTCACTGGAAGTGGAAGTGCACGTGTGATCCCAGCTGGAGTGTGATCATAGTTTTCTCGCACCTCTAGAATGTCTTGGGGAACAAAAGGCTGTCAACGTGTCCTCTTCCAAAAATGTCGTAAGTACCAGAATGGAATGCATGGGAAAGCCGCAGACCTTCTCATTCTATGCTTTGGGGGACAGCATGATAACATTCTGGACCTTGACCGCAGAGAAAGTGCCATGTGCAGGGGTCCAGGATGAGTGGAGGACCCAGAGGTGGGGAGTGGCCAGGACAGATGGCCTGTGAGTTGAGACATACCAGGACATTTTCTGGAATACTCTTTTTGAGAGAAGTGGGAGGGGGTCTTGTATATGGGCCCAGCTCTCTAAGTCACCAGCTCTTGCATGAACATTGAGGGCCCCACTGGTGCCATGGTAGAACCCTGGAGATCAACAGGAGGCCAGCCACATGCTATGGAGGAGAGGCTGCCCCAGAACTTGATGGTAGAAGTAGGCTGGAGGAACGTCTCTCCTGGAAAGCGCAGATGCTCCATTCTCTACCAGAATAAAGTGACTTATTGTGTTCCAAGAATATGAATTCAGCCCAGGGCTCAATCCGAATCGGCTGCTGCCAGATGTGATCCAGCTTCTGGGGTCCAGCTCAGAGCTCACAAACTGGAATGAACGTTGACCTGGGGACATCAAAGCAAGAGTCTGGCATCCCTGTGGCTGAGCTTCTCAATTTCCTCTACAGAGAAAGTGTTCCCTCGGAGCCTACAGGAGATAAAGCAGAGAAAAAAATCAGAGCTTTCCAACAGAAGCTGCTACCTTGGACAGCTGTGTCTAGATGGGCTGACCCTCCTGCCCATCTGCAGTGCTCCTGGGTGGGAAGTCTGTGCTGTTTTTACCCTCTGGCATCCAGGGCAATCCATGAATCATTCTGCATGCTGAACAAGGCTCTGTGATTTTGCAGACTGAGTGCACAACCTGAGACCCAGTCAGCCAGACTCCCCAAGGCTGGTGATTCTTTTTAAGGCAACAACAGAATTGGTCAAGAATGCAATGAGCAAGTCCTGATGGCCACCCCAGCTCCGTCAGCCGGCACCAAACACATCAGAACCCTTAAAATATCAACCTGATGCTAGCTTGCTCCCAGGATACAGAATGTGACATTTCTTAGGACCATGTGATGGTTTAAAAACAACGATGACAACAAAAACCCACCACCTGCCTAGGACCCAATGACCTCAGAGACTACAGGGATTATACAATGTACAGAGAGAAAAATCTCTCCATCATGAGACAGATTTTTAGAAGTTTTTATTTTTAATTATGTCATTTGCTATTATTTATACTTGCTGCCACCTTGATACAGTTTTGTTTTTGTTTTGTTTTGTTTTGTTTTTTGTTAGAGAAACTTTTTGCTATAGGGCACATATGCTTGCCGAAAAGACAGAGAGACAGAAAGTCAAAAATCACCCCTCAGAGGGGATGACCATGCTGCAATCCCTTCTCCATTCTCTCATAGGATGTGGGGTCCCTCCATTCTTCTCTTGGGATTTTGGCCACACACACACACATGTGCTTGGTGTGAATTTTAAGCCACCAGGTACAAGACTCGAACCATGGTCCAGCAACATAACCATTATACCATCAGCTGGTTCTAATATGGTGGGTTTTTTTTTTTTTAATTTCCAGAGGCTGTGTATGCTCATGAGAGAGATGGAGAGACAGAGAAAATAAAAGAAAGAGAGGGAGAAAGCATTCCCCAATGGTGGAGGTCATGCCACAGTCTCTTTTCCATTTCTTCATCCTGCCAGGATTTGGGGCATATATGTACATGTGCCCAGCATACTTTTCAGGCCACTGAGGCCTGGACTTTAATTGTGGCCAGCTACAATTAACTACTAGGCTATTGAGCTAGTCACTCTTTTTTTTTTTTTTTTCCAATTATCAAAGGGCCTGTACACTCACCAAAGAGAAAGAGGAAGAAAGAATTGCCCACAGGGACATAGTCATGCTTCAATCTTTTATCCTCCATCCTATGAACATTTTGTGCATGGACGCACATGTGCCCAGCATGTCTTTCCACCAGAGCCGGGATTCAAACTGCAGTCAGCCAAGTGGGATCCAGCTTCTGTAACTGCAGAGCAACAGGGCTGGCTCATTGGTGTTTTCTTGAAAGGCAAGTCTGCATATTTAAAGTGAGCATCACAAGCTCACAGAGATGAAGAGCCACAGGGGCCTATTCTAAGACAATAGGCTTGGGAGGTCCACAGTCAGCCAGAATGAGTCTACCCCACTGAGAGAAGTCAGCCCTTCTCCTTCACTTAATCCTGGCATCATGAACGAGGGCTCCAGAGTTGCCAGCTATTTTGAGAAAACCCTGAAATGTACGTTTCTATAATAAATCTCCTAATTTTTAAACATGAGCATCTAGCCCAGTGCCTGAAACAAATATAAAGGTATTTCAAAAAGTTTGTATAAAGATGAAATTAAAGTATGAGTTTGTTATCACAAAAATTGAAAAATCGATGCATTTAAAATAAATAAATAAATAAACATTTTCATGAACTTTTTGAAGATCCCCATGCACAGTAGCACTCATTTATAGCATATTAGACCAGGAGAAACTTTTCTACTTATCTATTACTATTATTATTTAAGTCTTTGCTACAAGGCACATGTACTGGCTGGGGAGAGAGAGATCGGGAGAGAGAAAGGGAGAAAACATCCCTTAGGGGAGATGGCCATGACACAATCCCTTCTCCTTTCTCTTCTTAGGATTTTGGGCATGTACACACACATGCCTGGCATGGTTTTCAAGCCGCCAGGTCCAGGACTTGAACTGCACAGTTGGCCATGTGAGATTAAGCCACCTTAATCTCTGCACCACCTATCTGGCCAAAATCTTTCTACTTATTATCTGAATGAGCAATACATGGATCCCTAGAAACAAGAAGGGCAAATCTTTGATGCAACGACTGGGTACTTTTTTCATATCCGTGAAGGACTCTGAGACATGAGCACACACACTGCAACAGCTCCCACTGGGTAACCTCATCCACAGCTGCAGAGGGCGATACATCCTTGACCTATGAAGGCAGCTGGAACACCTAGGTGGGCAGGGGCAGAGCTCTCGTCATTTATTTTCATTTCTCAACCACACCCCGACGCTACCACATTGCTTGGGGCAGAGGGTTTCTAAGTAAATGCTCACGATTCAAAAATGAAAGAGGTGCCACAGGTGGCATAGTGATTAAGGCACTGGACTCCCACATGGCTGACTACAGTTCAAGTCCTGGAGCTGGTGGCATGAAACTCACACCGGATATGTGTGCTTGTGTGCCCAAAATCCTGAGAGAAGGGAGAAAAAGGAGCTGTGGTGTGGCCATGCCCCTTGAGGGGTTAATTTCTCACTTTCTCTCTCCTTCTCTCTCTGTCTCTTTGGCAAGTGCATGTGCTCTAAGGCAAATTCTCTCCCACCCACAAAAAAAAAAGTTCCCTGCTTAGAGAGGTGAAGAACTCTTCCCCAGATGAGAACTAGATCAGTCCCATGCAGAACAAGACTGAATGTCAGAGTCAGAAGGGATCTTCGAAATTCTGATGGTCCTCTTTTCCCTCACCCCACTTTGCAGGTAGGAAAACTAAGGCTCGGGAAGGTAAATCTGCCCAAGGGCCTTACCAGACTTCCAGGATGGTGGTATTCCTTTCAAGGGCCTGCAAGAGGGCTTCTGCCCCGAGACAAGTGACGTGGTTGTTGGAGAGCCTGGAGAAAAACATGGGCTGGTGAGCGTCAAATATGCTTAGTTTTCCACTTACAGAAAGCTTTGGGAGTCAGCTGGTTGAGAAGCCCACTGTCCCCTAGACATGTCCCTCTTCTGGCTGAGAGTCCTACTGAGCTCATCAACAAAAGCTCCATACCTTAAGTGAAATGCACCCCCACGCTGCCCCCGAGTCACCAGATTCATTTGTGTAATTGCATAGCCTCTCCTTTAGGAAGGGGGGTTAATGCAGTGGTTAGTACCTGCAGTACAGTGCTTGACTTCCTGGGTTCAAAGGCAACCTACACTACTTCCTTTTCAATCTCAAGCAAGTTTGTCCCATTTCCTCATCTATACAATGGGCCTAAAAGAGTCCCCATCTCTTTGAGTACAAAAAGTATAAGAAGTAGATGAAGAATGGTCTGTCTAAAGCAGTTGGCACAGTAGCTAACGGACAGAAAATCATTAATAGGGAGTACCATGTTCATTTGAGTGCCTTCGGTACACAGAGACCCAGATTAGAGGAAACAGGAGTTCAGAAATGGGGAGAGAGAGATGGGACGCAGCTGGACAGAGCCAGGGAGAGTCCTGTATTCCCCATGCTGCCCTTTTGCCAACAGTTGACCTTCAGTTAATGTCCACTTCTGTCTCCCCCTCCTCCCAAACTGTAGGAATTACTTAGATCCTGCCCTTAAGGCAATGTGTGTAGTAACACCCACTATGTGCTCAGCTTTTCCGTGTGCCAGCTCACCACCTACATTACGTCAGTGAACGCTCACACCCAATGAGGAAGGACTAATTACGTCCTTATACTTGAAACAACCAAGGCACTTTTCTAAGGAGACAGCTGGTCATGTTGGAGCTGGGGTACGAGCCCAGGCCATGGGGCTCCGGAGTCTGTACTCTACTTTTTTTTTTTTTCTTAAGGTTTTTGTCAGAGGGCACATGCACTTGCTAGAGAGAGACAGAGAGACAATCAGAGGGAAAATGAGAAATCACTCCCCAGGGGTGATGGCCATGCCTCAATCCCTTCTCCTTCCCTCTCCTCTTGGGATTTTGGGCATGCACACACAGGGGCCCAGTGTGATTTTCAACCCTCCAGGTCCAGGATTTGAACTGCATTGGCCATATGGGAGTCCAGCACCTTAACCACTATACCACGTGCTGGCTCCAAGCCTGCCCTCTTGACCAACTCTTAGCAGAGACTAAGCCTGGGAAAAGAAGACGGAGACTTTTTTTTTCCCTTTAATTGCTAAAAGGTACATGTACTCATCAGAGAGAAGAAGCACCCTCCAATGGGGCATGGTCACACTACAGTCCCTTCTCCCTCTCTCCACTCTGTCAGGATTTGGGGCATGCATGCATACATGCCTGGTGCATTTTTCAAGCTTCTGGGGCTGGTATCAAAACTGCAGTCAACCATGTGGGAGCTGGCCCCCTTAACCACTAGGCTACACGGCCAGTCCTCTCTTTTTTATTAAAGGCTATATCAAGAGTTGGATTTGTATGGGAAGACAGAGGGGGATGATACAGTTCACGATGCTGAATAATTAGGTCGGGGGGGGGCGTAGGGTTTCCCACCGCCACTGCCTTGCATGCACTGGACGAGTGGGGAAAAACTGTGCCAACAAGGAGAGACAAACTTGCCACATTCACACCTGGTCAAGAATGGACCCCCTATTGCCAAAGCTGGCATCCAGCTCGGGAAAACTCAGGCTTCACCCAGACATCCCAGCCTACTTCCACTCAAGTGACAAGTGGCAGTGTTTTCCTGAACATTTGGCAACCTCCTAGCCCCCCGCAAAGCACCACAAACAAGTGTCATCAGAGTGGATGGTGTCTGGCAGCGAGTGACACTCTGAGGCAGCTGTCAGTCTGTCTCTGAAGGCAAATGTTTTCCTTGGGGCACATTTGCCAGGGCAGATGCCACCTTCCTCTGGCCAAAGGAGCCATGTGATGGAGGCCTGAGGTCCCTGTGAAATGACACCTCTGGCACAGCCTCAGAGAGCACCAATGCAAGCCCATAATGGTCGCCAGGGGGGTTTATATCTGCTGTCCCTTTCCTTGGCGGGCAGGTCCCTGGCCACTGAGTCCACCACCAGAGGAAGCTAGAGTATATACTCCCTGCTGCTGCCCAGCCCTTCAGCCCCTAGACCTGAAGGACTTCCAGGAGCTCTGCCCCTTTCACCAGGCTTCTCTCCTGCCATCAGCCTAAGCCTCCCTCCCTCCCTCCCTCCCTCCACCTGCAAGGCTGTAGGACCTCCTGACTGGTCTCCTAGTCTCCTTGCTCCCATCTTGGCCCTCCTCCATTCCTTCTGCACAAAGCATCAAGGTTGATCCTTAATCATATAAATCAGGGGGATGAGCAGTGGAATAATAGCTATGTCACAGGGCACATGTAGCCAACTGTGGTTTGAGTCCCGGACTCGGTAGCTTAAACTCACTCCAGGTGTGTGTGTGTGAGTGCCCAAGATCCCAACTGGAGAATGGAGGAGAAGGGATTGTGGCATGGCCATCTCCCTGGGGGGATGATTTCTTGCTTTCTGTCTCTCTGTCTCTTTGTCTGTCTGGTATATATATATCAGGTCACATTAGCACTCTGATTAAAAAACCCCAAAGTCTATCCAAAGCCCTGATAATAAAACCCAGATGCCTCCCATGGTTCTGAGGCCTATGTGCCCTGCTCCCCCAACTTGTCCCCATTCCACTCCTCTGTTACACTCTACCTGCACAGGCCCTCCTTCTGGTCCCAGAACCACCAAGCCTGTTCCTGCCTCAGGGCCTCTGCACCTGCTGTTCTGTCCTCCTGGAATGTGCTTCCCTGTGACCTCAGCATGCCGAGTGCCTTCTTGGGTAAGGTTTCAGTGCAAATGCCACCTTGTCCACCAGGCCTTGCCCAAGCAGCAGCAACCCTGGCTTCTTTCTGCTACATCGGCCTCTTGACCCAGAAATGGTCTTGTTCAGTGTTCACTTGCTCATTGTCTTGTCTGCCTCTCCCATTAAAATGTAGGAGCAGTGTGAGCCGGGGGCCCGCCCTGTCCCACTTACCACTCTACCCCTGGTACGTCCAATGGTGCCTGGTACTGAGAGGGTGCGCAAGAAACCCTTCTTGTAGGAGCACATAAAGGGGTGACCGTATGCATGAACGAAGGTGTGAACGGACGTCAAACGAATGAAGGAATGAGTAAATGCAAGCACACATTGCTGCCCAGCACAGCAGAAACCTCTGGAGGGTCAGCCCCGCTGTGGTGGTTGAGGTGGCTGGATTGCCACATGATTGACTGCACAGTTCAAGTTCTGGACCTGGCAGCTTGACAAACACTCCATGCATGTATACATGCATGCCCATTCCCCATGGGAGGTGATCTCTCTCTCTCTCTCTCTCTCTCTGTCTGTCTCTCTCTCTCTGTCTTTCATGAGCACACATGCCTTCTGGTCAATTAAAGAGAGACAGAGAGAAAAAATAAATCCCTGGGAATGACCATCCCCAAGAGCCCTCCTGTCTGAGCCAGTGGTGGCCCCTGGAGGAGGGGAGGACACTTCCTGTAAGCCGCATGCAGACCAGTTGACAACCGTGGTCCTTCCCTCAGCTTTCACCTCCAACTCTGAGGGCTCTTGCTGGGAAGACCCATCCCTCCCTGCCTGAGGCCTTTCTTCTAACATGATGAACATATTCAGCCACACGAGCATAAACTGGGAGTACTGGAGAACTAATATCCACCAGCCCACACTTCAATACACGGAGGACAGCATTTGGTGGATAAATGTCCCCACTCCCTCACCCCATGGGTGGGCAAGTAAACAGGCATGCTCTCCACTGGTTCCTGGGGTGACCCAGCAGGATGAAGCTCCAACTTCCTTCAGTGATAACTGGCTTGGTAACCGCCCTCAACTGGTTCCCCTCCCTTCCCCACCGCACTTCACTACTCTCCCACCAGGTGCTGGGACCACATCCCAGCTCAACTGCCTACCAATGTGCGTTGGAATCTTGTGTACCCAGCCCCGTACGAGTGTTTTCTGCCAACCCACCTCTCATGAGCAACTGGGGCAAGGATACTGCCCAGATCTCTGATTCAAACACTCCCTCCCTCCCATCCCCACTCCTGCTTCCAGGTCCCTTACTTCAGGACTTTCAAACTGGAATTTCTTTTCAGTCCTTCTGCAAGAGCACACACACCTTCATCCTGGAGATGGTTCTCCTCCAGGCTGGAAAAAAGCAAGACAGAACATCCAGATGATATGAAAACATTTATACTAGAAGACGACGTCAAGCACAGTTAATGGTGCCCCCTTTAGATAATCCAACATCTGAAAATCCAGACTAGAACACATGAAGAAAGCAGGAGGATTCTCAATGCCAGGGACAGCTTTGCAAGAGAATTTGCCACAGGGCTCTTCTGTATAATAAGCCTCCTCCTTCCCTGGCTATATAATACCCATCTTTATTTCTTCCTTATCGATGGAAGTCTCATTTTGTTTGGGGCAGCCATGTGCTCAGTGAAAAAACTACATTTCCCACTCTCCACTGCAGTCAGAGTTAGCCAAGTGATACATACATGGTCCTTGATGTATAAAGAGAAGTTGACAGGAGGGGCTTCTGGGAATGCTCTTTACAGGCAAGAGACCCAGCTGGCCTGTGCCTTTCACCCTTCCTAGGTATTTAAACTAAATCCTGGAATACAGAAGTAATGCTGCAGATAGAGCAGCTATCTTGTGATCATGAGGCATGAAGCCCCTGAGGATGAAGCCATAATATGAGCATGGTAGAACAGAACAGAAGAGACTGGGTTGAGGCCCCTGCTGACCTCTCATAACCATAGTATCAGCCCTATACGTTCTACTTCTTTTTTAAATTTTTATTTTAGAATTACTTTATTCAACTGTATTTACTCATTTATTCATTTTTTAAATTTGACCAGAGGGGTACAGAGTGAGAAAGAGATTGAGAAAGAGAGAAGGAGAAAGCAAGCCACCAGGTTCAGGACTCGAATCACGGTTGGCCACGTGGGAGTCCAATGCCCTTAACCACCACGCCACCTACCAGCCCCTCACAGTCTACCTCTTGACTGCCTCTACATGAATAAAATAAACTCTTTGCTAGTTTAAGCCTCTGTAGATGGGAGGTCTTCTATCACTAGCAACCTGATGTAGTGTCGCATTCAACTAAATTTGGCCTGAGGCTGCCTCCATGCTTTGAGTATGCAACCTACCTTAGAATTGAACAAACTGCAATCTAACGGAGAGTATACACTTGCAACAAATAGCTGAGTCTCTACCGATTATAGCAGCATCACTTCAGCCAGTGACAGGCTGCCAACCAATCTGATCATGACCATATAAGGAAAATATTTCATGATACCAAATACAGCAAATGCCGAGCTGTTACCAATCAAGCTGTTCCGACTTGCCCCTTTCTTTTCTTGTCTGCAAATACTATCTGCCTACATTGCTGAGTGGAGCTCTCTCAACCTCTCCTGTTCCCGAGTGCTGCCCAGTTCATAAATTGCTCTTTGGTTAAAGAAACTCGGTTAAATTTATTTAGTCTAAATTTTTTCTCTTAACAGTAGTCACAACTGATATACCTCTACCAAAATATTCCAAATGGCAAAATCCAATAGGGTATCATCAATTGCACACTGGCAGAGCCAGGAGCACTGCCAATACCCAAGTGGTCATGCCCATATGTTTTAGTGCCTTTCTGCTCTCTAGAAAAAATCAAACATTCAACATTGTATCTCCATGATATACTCTCATGTTGGAAAACTACACTAGTGGCATCTAAAGGATGGGAAACTTAAAACTTGTTTTAGGTCAACAGTGTAAGTCATGGTTCGTTTTTCAACTACTCCAACCACAGCCTTCCAAGGCAACCTCTAACTTGAATATCCATTGTTCTTAGGAATTCAAACTCACTTTGAAACAACAAAACTTTGTTAGTAGTAGACACAGTACTACTAGTAGTTGGAATAGTAGCAACTGCAGCAGCAATAGCAGTACTAATACTTCCACACTCTTATAACCGAACATTTGTGGAGCACTTAATACATATGCCAGGCACTGTATTAAGCTCTCCACAATACTGCCTTATTTAACTCTTACAAAAATGTTTTCTAACTGGAAGCATTCTTATTCTCACTTTACAGGTGAGAAACCTGAGACTGAGAGATTGTTAGTTTAATTTACCTAAGATCACAGCCTATTTGAGTCCATAGTCTGCACTATTAACCATTGTATCATGTGGGGGCAGTAAACAAAGAAATGAACCAACTAATACAATTAAATAAAAACAATTAGCACTTCTACACCAGGCTCTAAAAGCATCATGCCACCCAGTACATATAAATGCAATCAATCTATCACCTACTTTCATCTTATCCATAGAATTGGTCTCATGGCTGAGGCCGAGGAATCATGAAAGGTCATTATCTGCCTCCCCAAGGCAAGGGATCCCCCAAACTCACCAGAGTTCTTCTAGGATTATGTTCTTTTCCAGCATCAGTGCTAAGGCTTGAGCACCCGTGATGCCAATGTTGTTCCCCACGAGGCTGGGCAAAATCATGGAATGAAAACGTGTCAGAGCAGGGAAGGACCTCAAAGATAAACTAATCTAAAAGGGGCGAGATATATATGGTATTCTCCTAGTCTGATCCATTCCAGACATCACTAATTGATTACAGTGCTCTGAATTTCTTAGAATCCTTCCCAACATGGTGCATTGGGCAGCCAGCACCAATGGATTAGAGTTGACCCTTGAGATACAATAAATCTGACTCAGCCTAAGATCTTCAACTTATATGTATGGAATAAAGACCCCAAGAGAAGGGACCTCTCTGTAAAGTTACCCAGAAAGACTCAAATGTCCTGACTCCGAATCCAAAAGTCTTTCTTTCTTATCCTATTGCCTAACACAAAGGATTAGAAATAAAGTTCAAAGATCTTCAAAACCGGTCCAAGCTTCTCCTTCTTCACATGGCTCCCCCTATGACAAGCACTGGTCAAACCTTGAAGTTTACTTACCTGAGCCACCTCAAACTCTGGTGATCATGCAAGGCTTCAGCCAAGGCCTGGGCCCCCTTGTCACTCACACTGTTGCCCCAGAACCTGAAGAGACCAACAGAATAAACAGTGTTAGCAAGTACCTGCTATTGTTCTAGACATGAGCTAATAGTGATCTTCCTATCTGCAGTCCCAGCCAGAGGGGCAGGACTGCCAGTCCCAGAAAGGTCTCAGCAAAGTGGCCCTACCTCCATCATTTTGGTAAGAGGGCCAAACTTCAGGTTTCTCAACAGCTTTAAATTACAGACTTAGAGAACAGTAAAGGCCCACCCAGCCCATACCGTTAAAAGACAGCAATTCACAAGGTCATGACCTTTCTTCTGACATTAGTTCCCATTTGCTTCCTGGTTACCGCTACCCACAATCCTTAACTACCCTCTAGAACTACCCAGAATGAGTCTAACTCTTTTCCTTAGCCCAGCTCCTTGTCTCCTTCTCTCCTGCTCCTCCTTCACATCACCGATGTCTTAGTGGGCTCTCATTCCTTCACCTCCTGGGTCATCCTCCATTGACCCATCGTAGTTTAGAAAGATCCCTTTTCAAAAGTGGAGTCCCAGGGACCAGCAGTTAGCATAATGGCTATGTCGCTGGACTCCCACGTAGTCGACCGAGGTTCACATCCTGGACCCAGTGGCTTAAAACTCACGCTGGGCGCGTGTGCGTGCGTGCCCAAGATCCCGAGAGGAGAATGGAGGAGAAGGGATTGTGGCATGGCCATCCCCCCTGGGGGGTGATTTCTTGCTTTCTGTCTCTATGTCTCTCTCTGTCTTTCTGGCGAGCACACGCACCCTATAGCAAAAAAAAAAAAAAAAAAAAGAAGAGCCCGCCCCAGAC